CTTATGAGATTTACCAAGACATATTTTGCATTTATTTTAGATGATACATTTTAATCATTGTATATGTTTAGTACAGGCAAATCTATTTGCCATTGTTGTTTGTTTTTACAATGTTTCAACTGAGTACCCTTTGTTCATCCTCAGATTCTACTCTGAGATGTTGAATCTAGAAAAGATGAAAAAAATCACCTGAAACAACTATATGCAATAATATAAATTATACGATGATGCATGAAAATTCTTGGGTGTTCAGATTTTAGTTGAAAGCAGGAAATAATGAGAAAACAGATTGAAAATCTTAAGAGGAAAAAGTTTTATTCCAGGTCAAACATTAGGTTGGTTTATCATGAGGGTACATTAGAGAAGTCAAGTTGTGAAATGTTAGCACACCGAAACTTGAAAGTGTCTTCTCAACATTCTTGATGGCCTAATGGATTTTGAATCAACAGGAAATATTTTGAAAGCAAAAAATAAGAAACAAATTGTAGAATGACAAAATGCCTTTCAGGCTTTATTCACTTTAAAATACAGATCTCAAATTCTATAAAATGTTTACAAGACAAATTTTTTTTTTTCATATTTCACCAACAATCAGAGCTCAAATCATTATAACAACAGTTAATGAATGAGATGCAACACAAAGTGAAAAGGCCTTTTATTTACCAACTTATTTGTTCTTTTTTCTTAGAATGTTTGTAAAACAACTAATTGCCTAAATCAAACTGGACCAACAGGCAACATGTCCATTTTGTGAGGTTTAGTGTGGCGGTGAATAATTAATTAAATATTTACATTTCTTACCAAATGTGATATGAAAACTAACTACTTTCCTCAGTTTATTTTAAAGAAGTCAATCTAATTTTGAAATGAATTACTCTAATTTGCACCAAGGATTACTTTTAAGTTGCTCCAAGGATTACATTATTTAGAAATGGTACAATTTTAGCTGAAAAAAAAAAAAAACAAGACAAAACAAGCATTTGTCTGCTTTTATTTTGAAATGCAACTATTTTGTAATAATTGAATATTCTTTTCACTGTTTATATTCGTATTGAACATATGTTAAATAGATGAAAGAAAGTGTCAAAGTAATTAATGCTGGAACTTAAATGCACAGATCATGTCAACTAGATGATAGAAGTAGCTTTTTATTTTGTATTCATTTACATAAATGAATATGCATATTGAATGAGTATTATGGATTTTACAATTACTAGAATGACTTAAGAGACAGAGCCTTTTGTCAAGGCTTGAAATGAAAGTTTGCCTTCTTTTTAGTAAGCTGAATAGCAATGTGGTAACTAATTTCATATTAGTGGAATGTAGGTTACTTTTTGTTGATCAGGTGTTGATCACATACTGGCATTTAAATATAAGGAAAACATGTAGAGAGAAATTAAGGGGTTGAAGATGGTGTGGTTGAAGCTTTAATTCTCATTAACAGGTACTTTCTAGGTATTTTATATATATACATATTTATATGTATATCCTTACTTTGTAAGCATATATAATCATATACTTATATGAAAAAACAAGTTGTGACAAAATAATTAGATTTCTATAAAATGTTGCTAATTATCAGTTAAAGACTATAACAGTCAGTTATTCAGTACAATAAGTCCTTCTATTAATGAAGCTTTTTTACTTTTTGTCATGGTTGATAATTCTTTCAAGTGGGTTTCACAAGCCTAATTACAATGAGTTATTTCAATTTTCATTGACCTAGGAGTCATCATAAAATATTTTTAAAAATTATATGTCTAAGATGCTAATCAGACAATCATTTCAGACAGTTAATGGTAATGAATCCTGTTAAAATGTTTATGTGAAATTGTTGAAATTAGGAAAATAATGACAAATCAGATTGAAAAGACTTAAAAGGAAAAAGTTTTATTCAAGCTCACACATTAGGTGGGTTCATCATGAGAGTGTGAAATGTCATCACACCAAAACTAGTTTAGTGGATCTTTATTCCAACCTATATGTATCTGCTCAGGGATCTTGCTGATTCAATCTTGTCAGCCCTATATGGTTGGAATACATGCAAAGCATTTTCATAATACTATTTGTTTCTTTACCTGTTTATTTAAACTAATTAAATCTTACTAAAGATTAATACAAACTTATTAAATTAGATTGATCAACATCTTGTGATAGTACAATAATTAAAGACTAACTTTTTTCATTTTTATTAAGGGTACTATGTGAATTTTCCTTCTTTAACTGGCCACAATTCTATTTAATGTCATTCATCTGCCTGAGATAAAAAGAGCTAATGAAAAAATGGAACAGAATGTGAGATGTAATAAATTTCCTTCATTTAAAAGTTTTAAAATATTAACATTCATTATTGAACAGCAGAATGTGAATGACTAGACTTGAAAATAGTATAAATGTTCAAGCAAATAATTTTCCATCATGTAGTCTTTGTATTTTGAGGGCTTTTCTTTATATTTAACTTTGAAAAGAATATTAATACTAACCAAAATTTTAATTAAGTCATATCTACAATATGATGCAGGGTTAAATAATCACAAAAAATAACTGAAAGCATGGCAAAAGTAAAACAAGCATAAATAGAAATGATTCTGAAGCATGAAACAATGAATACTAAAAGGTTTTTGCATAAATGGACAAATAGAGAAATGCTTTCATATAAGTGTTAAAAAAGTTTCTATAAATCTCTGTTATATAATTTTGTCTACTGACATTGCATGAAATATTTCCAAGACAGATGAACAGCCACCACCCAACAAGCCACATCACCCAAGGCTTGTCTGTCAATCCAAGATTTTATGACATTAGTTGCAAAACCTAACTCATCAAGAAAATGCATCTCTGTTACACTGTTTCTCAAAAGCCAAATTTGAAAGGCCAATTGTTGCATGAGAATGATAGCACACATACTTAAATGTGAAGATAGGTTTTCCAATGGTTGGTACAGTAAGAGATTTGTAATAATTCAGCTTGACATTTTTTGGCAAACAATCATCAGAAACAATTTCATGTATATAAAGATAAAAATAATGAACACTGAAAATTCATATTACAAGGGATTAAATTTTAAAATACTGAACACTACCAAAATGACATTTTAGATCATTAAAATTTTTTATCTGTTCTTGTATTTTTCTGAACTTTTGAAAATTTTGAGATCTTAACTTGTATAAAATTGTTTCTGAGTATAGTAGAGGTTTACTCAAATAGGATGTGCAGGTAGCATGATTGTTATCAGCAAAGAAAGTGGAGTTGGTGTGCTGAGTTCAAATTCCATTCTAGTCTGTTGTATTTACTTTGCACTAATTCCTTGAAAAGGCATGAAGTTATTTTTCATCCCACTTCCAGCTATGAGCTATAGCAGAGTAGATAGAGTTCTCTAGCCTTGGCTAGCAGCCAGTCTAGGAGATGGAAAACTGCAGAGAAGGCAACAAGAGAAACCACTCCACTATCTTTCCCAAGATGTCATATGTGGTAATTCACAGATAATAAAGAAATCTGTGAAGTGTCATGATTGCCTACATCGTAAAGGGACATGGCATTAAAAAAATGAAATAAAAATACTCAAATGGATGAAGTAAATAATGTTTGGGTGAGTGTATATAAGCACTTGTACATTGTATGATTTATAACAGCTTTAATTTATTTAATATACAGCTGAAAATACCATGATAAAAGCAAAACAGATGTTCATTTTTTAATGAAACTAAATTTGTTAATGGCTATGCTTTTCATGTTTTCTTTACTGAGAATATAAACATGTTGCATTGTTTATAACATGTACATTCGGTCAGCATAATTATACATCATTAAAGGATTATCAGGAAATGCATAATCCCCTGTAGGTCTAGGGATAGACATTGGGGGTAGATTAAAATTTCGAACATCCCTTCTTATGTCATCACCCCATGCTTCTCTGACATCCTGGGTATGTATATGTGTATGCACCTGGCCAAGAGTTTTGTCCTGTAAGTCAACTGGCCGGCCTGTTTGGGGTGGCATAGCTGTCTGCTCTATGTTTTCTGGATGCTTAGTGGGTTCCAAAACTTGTCCTACTGCTGCTGCTGCCACTGCAGCTGAAGTTGATGCTGTTGATTGCATTGTAGTTGAAGATGTGTCTGGAGCAAAAGAGGCAGGTGATGGGCCAAGATTCAAGAAACATGACCACAAGTGTTTGTTAAGTTCATTAGGACCTTCATGGTCAGCACCACAGAGATTGCAGGTATTTTCTCCAGCCCCCGTATGGTTACGCATGTGAGCATTAAGTGCTGGGAATTGGAGGTAGTCCTCATTACACCATGGACATGCATACTTCTTTTCATGGGCATGGGTGTTGAGATGTTTGTTGAGGCTGTATTCTGCAGTGAATGACTTGTTACAATAGCGACACATAAATGGTCGATCTCCAGTATGAATGCGTTGATGGATCATTAACTTGTCAAGACGAGTGAAAGACTTGTCACAAGCGGAGCAGCTGAATGGCCGGTCACCAAGATGTGTCTGCATGTGCTCATTCAATTGATTTGAATCCTCAAAGATTTTTTTACAATATTTGCACTTGTTGGCCCTATCTGCACTGTGGGTCAATTGGTGCTTTTTCAGGTGAGCAGCAGTACCAAATGCTTTCTCACACTGATTACACTTGTGATTACGCTCACCTGTGTGTGTACGCAAATGTGCAGTAAGACCATAGGATTTCCTGAAGCCCTTGTCACAATACTGGCACTTGTACGGTCGGTAGCCTGTGTGAATCATTTCATGTACACGCAGGTCTCCTACCCGCCGGAAAGTTTCATTGCAATGGCTACATGTGTATGGCTTCACTCCAGTGTGAATACGCACATGTACATTTAAATATTCGGAAGCAGAAAAGCCCTTACCACAATACTCACAGCGGAAGGGCTTCTCCCCGGTGTGTGTGCGCAGGTGCTTCTGGTAGTGATCAAGCTTTGCAAATTGCTTGCCACAATGTTCGCACTTGTGCAGATCACCGGTGTGAATCTTCAAGTGAATACTGTAATGACTGCTAGATCGGAAACGGTTGTCACAGTAATCACATTTGTAAGGCTTCTCTCCGGTGTGGATGCGTCGGTGAGAGAGCAGATTTCCACGTTGAGCGAATGTCTTGTCACAAAAGTCACACTTGTGTGGTGCAACACCTGTGTGTTTGCGCAAATGCTTTGTAAGATCATAGCGTCTACGACATGTATATGGACATAAGTCACATTTAAATGGTTTCTCCACATCATTTCCTGTGTCTGTTTCAGTTTCAGCAGAAGAATTTGGTGCATCAGCTGTAGTTGATGATGCAGTTGATGTAGGTGTTAAAACAGTTGATGTGGATGCTGTAGCTGATGGAGGAATTAGTACAGTAACTGGAGATTGGGTGGGAAAAGATGTTACCAAAGCAGTTGTAGTCATTGGAGGTGAGAAAGTGTTTGTAGATGAGGCAGTGGTAGAGAATGTTGGGAAGGTTGATCTACATGTGGAAGAAGACCCTGAAGAAGGAGAAGCTAAGGTAGATTTAGTTGTTGCTGCTGCTGCTGCTGACGATGATGATGATGTTTGTATGTTTGTTCTGGATACTGATGGGAGGGAAGCTGACATGAGATTCAATTGTGGAGTTGACAAGGAAGGATTTGATAATGGAGCTGAAGGTTTGGTTAAAAAGTTAGATGCAGTTTCTAAGTTCACTGATGATGATAGTGATGATGTTGAATTGTCAATGGATGCTGAGGGAGACAACAAACCCTGATAGAATGTCCGAATAGTAGCACTGGCAGTAGAGACTGACTCTTTTTCTTGCCCTTTTGGCATAGACTCAGTAAAACCAGTGGCATTTTTGGTAGGAGTCAAATTTAATGTGGCATTTTGAGCTTCAGCTGATTTAGTAGCAGCAGTCAGCAGACTGCTTGCCTGCTGACGAGCATGACCCCGTTTATGTGCAGCCAGATGAGTACTTTGAGTGAATGCATCACTGCATAAATCACACTTATATGGTCGGTCTTGTGAGTGAGTTTGTTGGAAGTGTTCACGCAATTCTGCTCGTCTACGATATGCAGCAGGACAGAATTCACAGCGGTAACATCTTACAGATGGATCATCAAGATTAATACCTCCGTCCTCATTGTGGATGATCTTCATGTGTTTTGTGAGACTGGCCAGTGTCAGAAAAGTTTTCTGGCACACGCTGCAGCTGTGAGGCTTATCGCCAGTGTGCAGGCGCTCATGGGTTCTCATGCTACTCCTTTTAGCAAAGCCGCGGCCACAGTAAGAGCATTTATGCGGTCGGTCGGACGAGTGGGTCTTGCGATGCTTATACAAGTTACTCGACTGAGCGAACTGTTTACCGCAAACTTTGCACTTGAAAGGACGTTCACCTGTGTGTGTACGCACATGGGCACGAAGGTCACCTGATTGCTTGAAAGTCTCTGAACATTCTGAACATTTATATGGTCTCTCACCTGAGTGGTTACGTAGATGGATAGTCAAGTTATATGCTTGGGTAAAAGCACGGTCACACTGGTTACACTTGAAAGGACGTTCACCTGTGTGAACACGAATGTGCTTTGTCAGGTGTGACTTAACAGCAAATGACTTGGTACAATGGGGGCACTTGTGTGGCTTGCCATGTTTGTGTATCAAGAGGTGTGATGAAAGCCTATATGACACGGCAAAGGCGCGAGGACACTGTGGACATTGAAAGGGTCGAATGCCTGTGTGTGTGGCCGTATGTGAGTCCAAGCCCTCCTGAAATGCAAACGTTCGGCTGCAGTAGGTGCATTTGAATGGTCTCTCGTTCAGATGAGTGGTCCTCACATGTCGTGTCAGGCTACTTGAAGTAGTGAATGCCTTCTTACAACAGACACAGGGATATGGCCGGTCTTTGGTATGTGTGCGCATATGGGTGATAAGATGATTTGATTGAGTAAATGTGCGTTTACATTTTTCACATTTGTAGGGTTTCTCACCAGTGTGCGTACGTGTATGGATGGACAACTGTTTCGGTTTAGTAAAGATCTTTTCACAATATTCACATTTTAAAGGACCTTTTGATGATGATGATGTTGTCTTTGGTGAGGTCGTTACCTTTTTGGGATTGACATGGGAGCGTGTAAGTCGGGTAGTTACAGGAGGTTTTGATGCAGGATTTTTTTTGCTTTCTGAATTCTTATTTTTGGAACGTTGATTTAAGGTGGATTGCTTTGTCTGTTTCTCTTCATCTTTTGAAGAATCATCCACATCCTTTTCTTTCTTTAGAGAAACTGGCATTTCAGATTCTGTGTCAGACTCAGAAGAGCTAGTTGTGTCTTTTGCAGATGGTTTCATCTTGGACTCTGCCATCAGGATGATGATGATTTAGCTATTTCAGTGTTTTCCTTCAAAGCTTATATATGCTGGTTACTGATCCGTCTTGACTACTGGAGAATTTACAAGCACAAGACCATCAAAAGAAATTTTTCCTTCTGTAAAAGGTCAACATGCATATGTATTGTAGTAGATCTTAGTTATTCTCCTGGGACCAGTCTAACATTCTATAAACAAACTGTAATCCTAAGTCATTACTTTATTAGTCGACAAGATACTGATTAAATAAGTAACCACAGATTTTAAGTACAAATATCAAAGAGCAACACCTTTTCCCACCTCAGAGGTTTACAACCTCCCCTTATCCACTTCAGTTCAATCACTGCCTCAAGCTGTTGACATTTTGGATTCACTTCAGCCCAGGAGCCTGACAACAGAATAAAAATAAAAATGGATAGAAACTGGAGACAAAGCACAACACTTGAAAATTTGTTTTCAATTTATTTATCAATCTATATTACCTATATATATATATATATATATATATATATATATATATATATATATATATATATATATATTATTAATTAAAGAATATCAAACACTTAAACTCCTATAGGTAATAATTTTTATTTCATGAGAGCTCTAAAAAACAGCAGCTCTCAATCTTTAATACCTACAAGCAAATCACAAATGAAATGGAAAAAATATATAGAAAAAATACACCGGGTTCATAACAAGAGATATTGTTTTTTAGAAAGTGGGGGAAAGGCAGAGAGTGTTGACCTATTTTGACATAATGACCTCAGTATTAGTTTCATTTTTTTTTTTGGTTTCATCTTCATACCATTAAAACCAAATGATTTCGGTTTCATTTTTATATCACTACTGAGTGATCATATCCAAAGAAACACTATTGAAAAAGACTTTCAGATGTTAATAAAATTAAATTTTATCAACATGTATACCATTGTAAGAGAAAAAGATTGAACAAAAATACTTTAAAAACATTTAATTGACTAGTTTTAGGAAATAAATGTGAAATCTATTTGTTTACAAAAGAAATGAGAAGAAAGAAAAGGAAATACGACATGATGTCTGAAATGTATTTGTTTCAGTTTAAAAAAAAAAAAACTTTTTGTGGTAAAATTAATTTAACAAAATAAATTTGTTTTTTTATCTAGGGAATGCACCTAAATTAGATATTAGGAATAATTAAAAATAGTTCTTAATTTCACTTTTAAGATGTGTATATTTCCAGATATGCGAGTCTCTGTTTTTTACAAATAAAATTATGTTTCTTTTTAGTGAATACACAGAAAATTAGATATTAAAAAAAAATAAAGTTTTAATCTCAGTTTTAAAATGTGCATATTTTCAAAATTGCAAGTCATTTTTTTAAAACCCAAAGTAAAAATTATTCTTGTTTAGCCACTAATGTTCGTTGGGTGTTTTTCACATTTATTGTTGGAAAGGTTAAGAGTGATATCAAGGAAGTTGACTATTTTTAGGTTAGAAGATATATCTAACTTAAAACCTGAAAACTTTAATAATTTTTTTGTAGTTTTAAGATTAAGGACCATTACTATTTCTGTTCTGCCTATAAAATTTTTCTAAACAAGGAAAATTAATTCATTTTATTTTTACAAATATCTTTATGGTTTTATCTGGTGAATAATACACTTAAGTAAGATTATATTAAATGATTAAAATACTTTTTAATTTCAGTTTTAAAATGTGTATCTAAAAAAGAACAAGTGATACTCGCAAATTTGGAAATCTACACATTCTAAAAATGAAATTAAAAGCTTTTATTTCTAATATTTAATTTTAGATGTATTTGCTAGATAAAAACAAATTTATTTAGGGAAAAATAACTCATTGATTTTCCTTGTTTAGAAGAAATTTATTTGTGTACCAGAAAAGAACTGCTGTTTTTTTTGGGGTTTTTTTTTTTTTGCTTACTTTATAATTTTTGAAGGAATTCACTTCTTCGGGTCAGAGAAGAAATGAACATCTTCCTGGTTGTAGTTTAAGTTGTCTTCTAATTGAGTGTACAATTTCAAGAATATTGATAAAGATTGGTCACTTTGATTTTGCAAAACAAAGTAACGTGTAAAATTTAGTCTTGAAAAAAATCATTTCACTTTTTCAGCTGGTCAAAGCAATACTGTTTTAACTTGCTGTAAAAAATAATTCAATAAATAAAATCACATACAAATTACATATTTAGAAAGATTATATTATTTTCTTTCAAACCATATGAATATTTTTAAGATTGGACCAGAAATACATGTGATATTGTGAGTTGAACTGATTATTATCGATCTCAAATGAAATCAGATATCAACAGGAAATGCTATCATTACACAAGAAAATGAATGGTTTCCTTAGAAAGCAAAAATAATAACTGAAAAACTGAATTGAAAACTGTGGTATAAAGGAAAACAAAACTGGAAACCGATACTGAAACATAAATTGTCAAACTCTACTCAGTATGTTATAAAGTGTGACTCTGAAACAATCCCGTTAGAATGGACATTAATGCAGATGTGGGTTTGGCCCTCTTTTAGGAAGGGTTTAAAGGTGTTGTTGGAAAGGTTAAGAGTGATATCAAGGAAGTTGACTATTTTTAGGTTAGAAGATATATCTAACTTAAAACATGAAAACTTTAATAATTTTTTTGTAGTTTTAAGATTAAAGGACCATTACTATTTGGAACAATCATTAGGCCATTGTCTCTATAAAGGCCAACTTGGTTGTTGTTAACAATGCTACCTAAGGTGTCTAATATATATACATGCCTACCAGGTTTTCTATTTGGGTTGTAAATTTTTGATAGTACCCCATTGAACATCGGAAAATAAATTTTTTTCATTGTTTCTTTTTATCCAAGTTGAGTTATTGTACACTAGTACTGATCTTCTAGATGCTATTATAATATTTAGGTCATCATCCGTGAATTTAAATGTCTTGGTTAATTATATGAAAAGTTTATGAAAACTTTTTCGCTAAGTTCAAAATCTTTAAAAATGTTCTCTTTTAATATTACTCACAAATAATTTGTGGAATGAAATATATCAGAATTGAATGTTTGCCCATTGACAGAAATAGACAGAATTGTTTCAGATTCACACTTTATATAATAGGTCAACACTCTTTGCTTTTCCCCAACTTTCTAAAAAAAATTATCTCTTGTTTTGAATCCGGTATATTTTTTCCATTTCATTTGTGATTTGTTTGTAGGTCTTGAAGATTGAGAGCTGCTGTTTTTTAGAGCTCTCATGAAATAACAATGTTTTTGATATTCTTTAATTAATAATAATTTTGCTCTGTCCTTTGACATAGCTCTCCCTGGATCTATATCCTCCTGGAAATTCTATACAGATTACCATATTGTATCATTAAACAACAGACAACCTACTACGGTTAAGCTTTTTCTTGTGTTCAAACAAGAGCTTTCTTTTCTGGACAAAGAAATTCATCCTCTCAATTACTCTTCCTCAAAGAACTTAATGTTAAACAAACACTAATTAACAACGGCTTCCCTAACAACCTTATAGACCACCAAATTAGACTATTTCTTCCCAAAGTAAGTAATAATGATAGTGAACACACCCCCAAAAATCACATACACATTTATTACAAAAACCAAATGCACATTAACTACAAACAAGACAAATCCTCACTAAGACATATTATAAAGAAATACACTACCCCAATTGACCTGAATAAAACAAATCAAATTATCGATTATAAAAAATTTAAGACAGCTAACCTTATCCTCAAAAATAACAACACACCAGCTTAAAATGACAAAAGAACATGTTTATAAGTAAAGGATAATGTTACATTATTTATATAGTTCAAATGCCCCTTAAGGAACTGTGTTCCTGATCAAACTGGACTCATAAATAATTACATCAGTTTGCATCCTACATTTTATCCAGACACCTCACATTACATCTATCTTATCACAGCTCCATTAGAACCCATTTAAACACACACAAAAAATTAAAACAGACTCCATTAGAAACATACTAGTAGAAAACACAATAACTTCATCCACCTGTAAAAAATTGTTAAAAATAATGTAAGATTTAATAATAAAAAAAAAAAACTAAACAATATTAACTCAATACCAACAATGCTGTAATGTACTAACCTGAAATTGAACTTGGAGGTTCATCCCTAATTTTACTAAAACATACAACATAATATACACATTCTCAATTAAACTGAAAAATCAAATCATCCTTGATAATGGCTAAAGGTATTATAACCATTCTTCTTTTAACTATTTTAAACATTTTATGACAGTTTTTACACACCTACTTTGTCCAGAAAAGAAAGCTCTTGTTTGAAAACAAGAAAAATTAAATAAAAAGCTTAACCGTAGTACCTTGTCTGTCATTTTTAATGAAACATGCATAAACGATAGATTGCTGCCTATATATATATAAGAGAGAGAGAGAGAGAGACAGTGTGAAACTATGTTTTGTAAATTTATTAAGAGAAAATTATTATATTTGAAAAGGACCACTTTCTATAAACACCACTAAAAATAGACCCTATCAGTAAACCACTTCAAAATT